GCCTAGAACTCACCATCTCCTGTTTTCTAGACCAGCACCTTCACCCCCATAGCAAACTGGCTCTCTCACTTTTTAACAAAGTGTTTCTTGCGTTAAGAAAATTAATCACAATTTTCAATGCCTTTATTTTCTATCTTCAGATTTAATCATTGGAAAATAGCTTTCTTGAACCTGGTTTCCCTGATGTTTTTGATGACAATTTCCAGAATTCCTAGCTACTGGCAAAAATAAAACAGGATGTACAGATATGAATGTTAATGTAAAACAAACATTTACATTTGATTTTACAATAAATAATATAACTACATTATCTTTAAAGGTGAGCAATTAGATGATTCCTAGAAGTTCAGGAGTGACATGAAATTTTTAGCAAACAGTTTAGCATATTCACAGGTACTTTTGTAATTCTGCTCAATATTATTATTTTTTAATTAGATAAATGATTTAAAACAGCTAATCCATAGTATACAGTCAGGTCCAGAAATATTGGGACATCGACACATCTTTGGCTCTATACACCATCACAATGGATCTGGAATGAAACAAACACAATGTGCGTTAACTGCAGACTGTCAGCTTTAATTTGAGGGTATGTACATCAGTACTGTGAAGGCTTTTTTAGATGTCGTTGTGAAATGCATGCTCAATGGGATTCAGGTCAGGTGATTGACTTGGCCATTGCATAACATTCCACTTCTGTCCCTTCAAAAACTCTTTGGTTGCTTGTGAAATGCATGCTCAATGGGATTCAGGTCAGGTGATTGACTTGGCCATTGCATAACATTCCACTTCTGTCCCTTCAAAAACTCTTTGGTTGCTTGTGAAATGCATGCTCAATGGGATTCAGGTCAGGTGATTGACTTGGCCATTGCATAACATTCCACTTCTGTCCCTTCAAAAACTCTTTGGTTGCTTGTGAAATGCATGCTCAATGGGATTCAGGTCAGGTGATTGACTTGGCCATTGCATAACATTCCACTTCTGTCCCTTCAAAAACTCTTTGGTTGCTTGTGAAATGCATGCTCAATGGGATTCAGGTCAGGTGATTGACTTGGCCATTGCATAACATTCCACTTCTGTCCCTTCAAAAACTCTTTGGTTGCTTGTGAAATGCATGCTCAATGGGATTCAGGTCAGGTGATTGACTTGGCCATTGCATAACATTCCACTTCTGTCCCTTCAAAAACTCTTTGGTTGCTTGTGAAATGCATGCTCAATGGGATTCAGGTCAGGTGATTGACTTGGCCATTGCATAACATTCCACTTCTGTCCCTTCAAAAACTCTTTGGTTGCTTGATGTACATACCCTCAAATTAAAGCTGACAGTCTGCAGTTAAGGCACATTGTGTTTGTTTCATTCCAAATCCATTGTGGTGGTGTATAGAGCCAAAGATGTTAGAATTGTGTCGATGTCCCAATATTTCTGGACCTGACTGTAATTGTATCAATGGGTTACAAAAGCATTGGTTGATGTTACTATAATTTCAACAGTTGACCTTTATTAATGATTGAACAGAAGGAAGAAGAAAAACAGAGGATAAGATACAGGAGTTCACAAATGTATTTCACCATAAATTACTGCAGAAAACTGAGATCCTGAAACTGCCTTTCATAATCTCTGTGAAAGATAGACTATCTTCCCATCTTACTGTAGATGGGCCTTTTTCATTCCTTCTGATGGCATGCTTTATCAGAAGTTAAATTTTTCATTTTTGTCATGGACAAGTGAAGTAAACAGCATTCCTAGAACAGGGAGGGAGGAACAATTTAAAATATTTTCTGTGACATTTTTAAACAGAAGCAAGTTGCCCGATCTTATCTTCCATAAGAGTGAAGTGTTGACCCATGTGATGGCCCTAGAAGACTTAGTGAAATCTAGGTGCCCAACAGAGTTGTTCCATGCATGGAATGGGCTGTTAGATCTTTCACTAAGGAGTACTGCTGGACATATAAACTAAAACTACAAAAATATTTCCTTAATCACACTAATTATAAATATTTATTTTCTGCATAAAAAGAAGAAGGAGCTTAGATGAGAAACTCTCACACAAATCCAGGCTATCCAATGGGCATTGGATTTGTGCCATTTTCTAACTGTGGCAGGGAGCACCATGCCCTGCTCCTGTAGAACATGGTGTTGACCCTGGGTAGGAAACCAGGATGAGACAAAGATATAAGATATAAAAGGTGTGACTCTTCTAAGGGCAATTCTAAGAAGTTCTTTCTTCTTGCTGAATTTAGAAGTTGTCACTGAAGTATAACCCAGGTAATTTCACATATCTTATTTAATGAAAAATTTGGTAGGAAGAACTTGGAAAAGAACTTCAAAAACTTGATTTAGTTCAATCACCTGCTACTGTAAACATCTACCAGTACAGCATCTACAGCAGATTTTTAAACAGAGGAGGGGCAGAAGGTAACTTCTGAAGAAGAGCTGGTATGAAGAAATCTGCTTGACTGACTTTACATAATTGGTAATCTCAATTCCACAAGATTATCCAGGATTGGGACATGGCAATTTAAGGCAATTGTGGAGCCCACGATGATTGGCAGCAATCCTTCAATGTCTCAGGCAGAAAGGGAGTGGACTCTTCAACACCTATTTATTCCCTTTATTTGAGACTCTAGGGACAGAACCTAGAACTTTTAGCATGCAAGACATGAGTTCCATGTAAATAAGGCATCTCTTTGCCAAAAGGATTAATTCCATAATTGTAGGACTGGATATGGGATGGCATGAGCTTGTATCTCTGTAACATGATGGCAGGGAAATGAAAGTGGCAGATATGTTTGTCAAGGTTCTTAGGATAGTCTTTTATGAAACATTTGTAGCACAGCTGCAGATAATATTTCATAAAACTATCTAAAGCAATGAGGACCCCAGCTGAATTTTCATGACAATTTGTTTTCACAATGTTCCCCAGAGTTGCTTGCGATTCTTTCTTTTCTGGGAAACATGAAAAAAAGATGGGAAGCCTGAGGATCTTGAGGTTCATGGCACTGGTTTATGACGGCACTGTTATGAATGGTGTCAAAAGGGCCTCTAGAATAGTGGTTCTTAAACTGTTTGACCCAATTACTCCTTTTCCTGGTCTCAAATGATGTCATTACCCCCACAAAAAACAAAACAAAACCAGACTCTATTATTTTACACAGGCATATTGGCAGCAGCAGTCCCAAAGTAGATCCTTGACTCACAAACAAGCAATTATAAAGTCTCTTAGCATAAGGCCCTACTTGCCTGTTTCAGTGCAGGGGAACATGGAATTAATTCGCCAATTCGGTTTATACCAGCATTGATTTTCTTTTTTCGATGCCTCTCCACTATTAAAAAAAACAGAACACACTGTATGTATAACAGTACATTTACAATTATAGTTTGCTCAGAAACAATGTCGCTTTTCTGTTCTGGTGCCTTTGGATTTGCATACTTAAAAGAAACATCCTGATCCCAGCAATACTGAAGTTCCTACCTGCATTATGAGTCTCACGGTTTTTCTTCCTGTTTAAAAAAAAACGAAAAAGGGTTAACTATCTATTGTTGTTTAAAATACTTTACTAAATCCATAAACATTTGTAACACAATGTTCTTCCTTTATGACAAAAGAAAAGAAAATCCACATATACAGTGAAGATTGTAGAATATAGTTGATTTGTCTGTTTAATTTAGTTTATTTTTGCAGAAATTACTATGTGACACAAGAAAATATATACTCCCTAAAACATGCACATACAAAACATGCACAAAACTAGGCTTTAAAAATGGGTGCTCTTGTGGGAATTCAAGCTATGAACAAAGATTACAATATGGATCATGTATTATATATTAACAAATACCAGCAATAAAAGGAACAGAGAAAACATGATAGATGCATATGCAATGGTCACGTTTTCTGTATACTAAAGCAGGAGATTATGTCACATTAATTTAAGATATACTTTTATGCTTCCCTGTAAATTTCTTAAGTCAAACAAGTTTAAAGAACTTTTTCCTGCCAATGTTCCCCATTCCTCTACTCCAATGACATTTATTCTTAAATGCGGATAGAACGGAAATCATGAACTTGTCCCCAAGATTTTGTCTGATCTTGGAAAAGTTTGGCATTGTCATGGCAGGAATGCAGAAATGTACTGATAATTGGCAATCTTGTGAGATTTGGCATTTCATTAATGCATTTTCTTTAGTACATTCTTCTTAAAGAAAGATGTCAAGTGAAAAGAACTCTTATCCTGATAGATGCTGCACCAAGCCACCAAGTAATTTATTTTTCAATTACTGTCCTTGCACGTATTAGTGTATGTGTGTGCGAGAGTATATACAGTGCATTCAGAAAGTATTCAGACCCCCTTCACTTTTTTCAATTTTGTTATGTTGCAGCCTGTGTGCGAGAGTATATACAGTGCATTCAGAAAGTATTCAGACCCCCTTCACTTTTTTCAATTTTGTTATGTTGCAGCCTGTGTGCGAGAGTATATACAGTGCATTCAGAAAGTATTCAGACCCCCTTCACTTTTTTCAATTTTGTTATGTTGCAGCCTGATACTACAATCATTCAAATTCATTTTTTTCTCATTAATCTACACTTAGTACCCCAGAATGACAAAGTGAAAACAGAATGCTAGAAATGTCTGTAGATTTATTAAAAAGAAAAAACTGAAATATCACATTGGCATAAGTATTCAGACCCTTTCCAACAACACTTGAAATTTAGCTCAGGTGCCTCCCATTTCTCTTAATCATTGCTGAGCTGTTTCTACAACTTGATTGGAGTCTACCTGGGGTAAATTAAATTGATTGGACTTGATTTGGAAAGGCACACACCTCTCTATAGAAGGCCTCACAGCTGACAATGCATACTGTATCAGAGCAAAAGCCATGAGGTCAAAGGAACCACCTGCAATCGGGGGAGAAGAGCCTCAGTAAGAGAGGTAACCAAGAACCCGATGATCACTCTGACTGAGCTCCAGAGATCCTGAGTCTACCTGGGGTAAATTAAATTGATTGGACTTGATTTGGAAAGGCACACACCTCTCTATAGAAGGCCTCACAGCTGACAATGCATACTGTATCAGAGCAAAAGCCATGAGGTCAAAGGAACCACCTGCAATCGGGGGAGAAGAGCCTCAGTAAGAGAGGTAACCAAGAACCCGATGATCACTCTGACTGAGCTCCAGAGATCCTGTATGGAGATGGGACAAAGTTCCAGAAGGACAACCATC